TATAGGCAGACCACCTGAAAGCTGTCCACAACAAAATATAAACCAACTTCTAATATTACATCCCACTTTACCAAAAATCTGGCATGCTTTAGTTTGACCAAGAAACAGAATCCAGGATGTAGGTTTGCTGATAGGAGCAGAGTTGGTTTTTAACAGTTGGTTCACTGGGGAAAAGAAGAGAGTACCGAGCTTCATTATCATGCTGCCCCTGAACACGTATCCTGGCTTCCTGCAGTACAGGTGAACTGACGCCATTCATTAACTGTTGCACTCAAGGAGACTGCTATGCTACACTAGTAACCAAACTTGCCCTCCACTACTGGCAATGGTGGCTTGATTCTCATTAAGAGGGTAGTGATATGCATTCTGCCAGTAAACATGCTAGCTCCTATAGCAGCCTGAATAGCACAGGCCCCTGACATGCCTGATCTCATCAGAGTTTGTAAACTAAGCAGTATTGAACATGGTTAGTACCTGGATGGAAACCACCAAGGAAGACTGAGGCTGCTATGCAGAGAAAGGCAATAGCAAACTACCTCTGCTAATATCTGCCCTGACCTGGACAGTCCCAGACTAGCCCAATCTCATCAGATCTTGGAAGCTAAGCAGGGTTGGCCCTGGTTAGTATTTGGATGGGAGACTGCTAAGAAGCCCAGGGCTGTTACACAGAGGCAGGCAATGGCAAACCACGTCTGAACATCTCTTGCCTTGAAAACATCCTGAACATCTGTGCCCTACAAGACTTACGGCTGGTGGACATTACCATCATCTTGGATTTAGTGCTGTTTATCTGACTGTTTTTAAGTATTTTAATGCTGTTTTAATTCAGTTACATTGTATTTTGATTTAAGCCACTCTGAGCTCTGCTCGCAGAGAAGGGCGGCTGATAAATCGAATATAATAAATAAATAAATAATTTAAAAACACCATGAGAGGTTGCCATAAGTTATCTTCGAGTTGATGCCACTTTACACACACACACACAAACACGGGGGGGGGGGGGAGGGAGAGAGAGATGCTATAAATCAGGATTCTATTATGGCTTTAAATAAATAAAAGCCCGCCAGAGATGCTCGCCTAGTACCTAGAGCCCGGTGATCTTATTTGCCTAAATGTTTAAGTGACTGGTTTATTTGAGGCGGTTGCTGTTTTAATTCTAGTTTTTGTTTGGGACTGATTTTATTGAAAATTGCTGGCTTCTATTCATTGGAAGTTCTCTGAAAAGAAAAGGGATATATATGTGTGTGTGTGTGATTCAAAGTTAGATTTTTTGTATCTGAATGATTTTACCAAAAAGGCATGACAAGGCCTCTTTTGAAGGAATAAAGCCTATTCGAGGGTGACCATCACAGGGCTGCTTTATGAACCTTCAGCATCCAGAGCATGAGTGGCATCCCGTGCGTGTTATCATGCAGCTGTGCCTTTGATTCCATGTATATCAACAAAAGGATAATATGTGATTAATATGGTATCAAATTCCACATATCTATAGCTCTGAATAACAAGACGTGCGTGCCGAGTAACTGGTATTTCCCACTGAAGCCGGGAGAAAGTACGGTAGTTTGATCTCTGGCATTAAGTGAGGATAAGGATGAAAACTGACTAGTCAGGGCCCTTCGTGTGGGTAATAAATTCTCTGCAGTGAATCACTTTCCCTTTGGTTTTTTGGAACACAGAATGCCTAAATATTTATTTAAACAGCAGCCAAATGCAAAAAAGAGAGTTGGCATCTTTGAGAGCCATTTTATAGTATTTGTGGGCTGCTTCTCTAAACAAGACTCAAGGTGGATCACAGGTTAAATATTTAAGAACAATAAAAAACTATAAAGCAATGTTAAAACCAGCACTCCAGTTTACAAAAAGGCCCTTCTAAAAAGTTCTGTTTTGCAAAGTTTAAGGAAGAGCAGGAGTGTGAGGGCATTCCAAACTTCTTCTAGTAAGCATCTCCACCAGGTTAGAGCCACAAGTTGGTATGCCAGCTATCCACATGGGGTGGGCAACTTCCTGCCACAACTTGCTCTCAGGCAGCTGAGCAGCAGGAGAAAAAGGGATAGGGGGTGAAGTCACAGACACACTGATGCCACTTCTGGTGGCCACATCGTCAGTGCTCTAAGAATTTCCCCTGTCTTCATGGTTTTTTCCCTCAGAGATTGGGAGAATTCTTAGAGCATTGTTGATATGGTGACATCACATCTACTTGAACACCTGGAAGTGATGTCTCTATGTCAGCAATGCTCCCCCTACCCACAATTGTCCAAATACAGACTGCAATACACGGTACTTGTCTGTACCAGAGAATCTTCAATAGGCTCTGTTAAGATGAATGACTGCAAACTTCCAGTCTTTGAATGGAAACATGCACCAATAACTAACACAGGGACACAAATTACTAACAGAAGGTGAAAAATAATTTACAAATTAATGAGAAATGAATAATGAGCCTTAGAGCCTCACTGCCGTTTTGTTGTGACTGTGCATCTAATTAGTTTTGCTAGAGTAAAATTATAAAAAAAGGAAAACAGAAGGCATTTCAGCAGAGCTCTTTTTTGTATGTTTTTGCACAATGTCTGCTAGCAGTAACTTTTTGATTACTGATTTAGTGTCACATGGCATGTCTAAACAAATCTTAATAAATGACTGAACAAAGATCTACTTTATTCTCCCATACTAATGAGAAAGGCAATTATTAGCATTTCTAGCATATTATATTGAAATCCCAGACAAACTAACAACTTCCCTTTCCCTCACAAAATCTGGAAAACAAAGATTCTGACAGCTTTCCCTCTCTCAATTAAAATAACTTTGGATATTCTGTACAATCCCTTCAATTCAACCAATCAGTGTTAGGGTCTTCACTGCCACCTGTATCACAGAATATAAGTTTTATGACTGAGCCTTGAAAACATTTATTGGTGTCCTTTACTTATGATTTATTTTCTAACCTGCATAATTGGCACAAAATGTTTTTTAAAGGATGCTCATAACAAGATTTTTTTTTAAAAAAAAATTAAAATTAAAAGTAGCACTTTTTATTAGTACCAACACAGGAACAATATTCGCTCACAATCCTCTGCCCACAATTTATATGCCTATGGTATGTAAAGAGAGAAAACCGAACAGTAATTTTTGCAGTGTCAGAACTTAAAGATGCCTCAGACAATTATTTTGCAGGGAGTTGCTGAAGCAGAGCCAAAATCATACAAGGAGGAATTTGTCCATCTGCTATAAAGTAACAAAATTCACTTCCTACCAAAGTTCAGCAACTTCACTGTTTATAAAGCTGAACGGTTAAATTATCGGAATACCCTCCCAGACTCTATAATTAACCTCAGTGGCGTTGCAAAAGATGAAACAGAGTGTTGGGTATTTCTTGGCAAGCATCTGAAATGCACAAGCCGGCAAATGTCATCCATCGCATGAAGACGAGCAGGCATAAAAGCAATGCAATACCAGTACAGTTCTCTGACTGAGACTTCCTCATGCAATGAGCATTTTTACAATCATGAGCTTTAAGTGCGTCCCTTTCAGTGGTCACATTCCATTAAGCAGGAACCACAAGTTATTTTTAATTTGATTCTTGCAGTTGCTTAGCAATAAATAGCCTGTGGATGGCAACATGAATTCACGCACGAAAGCATTCTACAACTTGAAAGCTTGGACACTAAAAGAGAACTGAGTCCCAAACCATTCTGTCACTCCCATTTCATTCACAGTAATAAAACTGAAGGAACTTCCTGTATCGCTGCAATAACTGAATGTCTTAAGACTTTAATAATGGATTTTGAACATTGTTTGAACAAATGCTCAGCACTGCTGGTTGACATTCACAGCTGCATTTTGGTCTTTGAACATCTTTCAGAGTTGAAGATGCTGAAGTGTGACATTGTTAGATACCCTGGTGACATTGGATACCCTGGTGAAAGGGCCCAAGCATGCAGGCAAGAAAATGGGTGCCCTGTTCTGGGGTATGAGAGTCCACAGAAGCCCAGCCTAGACAGTAAGCCTATTGTGATTCAGTCTACTCACATCACTTCAAGATGTATATATATTAAGATACATATTTATATATTATATATATATTAGATTCAAATCACCGCAGACTGTGACTGCAGCCATGAAATTAAAAGACGCCTGCTCCTTGGGAGGAAAGCGATGGCGAACCTAAACAGCATGATAAAAAGTAGAGACATCACCCTGCCAACAAAAGTCCGCATGGTCAAAGCAATGGTATTCCCAGTAGTCATGTATGGCTGCGAGAGCTGGACTATAAGGAAGGCCGAGCGCCGAAGAATAGATTCTTTTGAACTATGGTGCTGGAGGAGACTCTTGAGAGTCCCTTGGACTGCAAGAAGAACAAATCAGTCAATCCTCAAAGAAATCAACCCTGACTGTTCCCTGGAAGGCCAGATAATGAAACTGAAGCTCAAATACTTTGGCCACCAAATGAGAAGGGAGCACTCACTGGAGAAGACCCTGATGCTTGGAAAGATTGAAGGTCAAAGAAGACGGGGACGGCAAAGGATGAGATGGTTAGACAGTGTCATCGATGCAACGAACATGAAGTTGAGCCAACTTCAGAGGACGGCAGAAGACCGGAAGGCCTGGAGAGAGCTCGTCCATGGGGTCGCGAAGAGTCGGACTCGACTGTGCGACTGAACAACAACAAATCCTAATCCTACTGCATTGTTTATCAGACATTTCATGCTGTTTGACTGAATTGTTTCCTATATTTTGTAACCTGCCTTGAGTCTCAGTGAAGTACAAAGACAAAGAGATTTAATGCATCACACACAACCACCTCAGCCGGAACGTGTTTGGTTTATGAGCTTCACCTACAGCTCAAAACCAAAAGGTCTTGCAGTGCTCAAAACCACTACAGTTTCCTACGTTGCATGCAATTTCTGCAAGTAATTTTACCATAGGTAGTACCATGTTTCCTGAGTTGATCATTGACAACAGCTCAAACTGTATCCATGTAACAAAATCTGACTGCTACTTACTAAACACATCTCCTCGTGGTTTCTGAGGATCAATTGGTATCCTGTTGTCAACTGTAAATCCCTGTGGAGGTGTTGCAATAGTAGGAACAAGCTGAGGCTCTTTAGTTGTAAGTCTTGGTATTTGTGCGGTGGTGGGCTTGAGTGGTGTTGGGGGTGGTGTTGGAGGTCTTGTAACTGGCAAAGGTCTCGTTACTGGTGGAAGTCTTGTTGCTGGCTTCCATGCTGGTTTTGTCGTTGCAGGCTTTGTTACAAATCTGGTAAAGGGCTTTTGTGTTGGCCTCGTGGTTGGACGTGGGGTAGGCTTTATTGTTGTCCTGGGCGCAGGTCTCACTGTAGCTGGTACATGCGGAGTTTTGACGGGGTGCTTTGTGCCTCCAATTTCAGGTATCCTATTGGTCATCCCACCACTACCTTTAGGAAAGGTAGTATTGCCCTTAAATACAGTATATGGGCCTGATGGATCGATCATAACTTTGGGAATAGCTGGGGGGGAAAAACAAGAGTCATCTCTCCATGCAAAGCAAACCTAGGACACAACACACAAAAGCAACAACTAAATAATTTACTTCAAAGTAGCCACAGTCATTTACTCCAGAAGTATTATAGTACACGTTACTTATAGCTTATGTAAATACAACTTCCCCTTTCTGACTTTTGAGATGAATTTGATAAGAGCTATTTCTGTGACTATATAGCATTATTCAAGACAATACATACTTCCTCAATTACATGACATACTCTGCCTGGTTCACAATCATTAAGGTTTAAGCAGCAACAGCTTTTCAGTGGTATAGTAACAGCAAAGGTTCCTCTGGGCATGTTCTTGGTAAGTGTGGGGGGGATGGGAGGCACCAATACCCACCCTACATTGAAGACGGAACATGTTAAATGCACATATTACTCCTCCTGATGCAAAATGTTTTTTTTCATAAAACTATGCATATGAGACTAGATAAAATAGCTAAACTATCGGGTATTACTCCTCCTGATGCAAAATGTTTTTTCATAAAACTATGCATATGAGACTGGATAAAATAGCTAAACTATCGGACATAATAGAAAAGAGCAAGAGTCCAGTAGCACCTTCAAGATTAACAAAATTTGTGGCAGGGTATGAGCTCAAGTGCCAGGAATGTTAGGGAGGCTTGTAATTCTATGGTGACAGCTCACATAGCAAATAGTTCTAAGTGATGTAGCCAGGATAAGTATTGTTTCCCACACAGAAGTTATATCTGGAAGAGTCCCCGTAACAAATGCAATTCACAGGTTTGCTCTAGAAGACCAACATGGCTAATACTATACTTAAGACAACACGAATGGCAAGCTTTAAGACAACTGAAACACTGCAAGCCTCTACTGCTAAGCTAAAGGAGTCCTGTTACTTCAGCACTGGTCACCAGTGGAATTTCTGCCAAGGCAGGGTATTTACAATTCACTGCAGTTAATTTTCATTAGTTATATCTAATTAGTATCCACTTCTGCCCATAACAATCACTGGAGGCCCACTGCCTTAGGAACTGTACAAAAAATGGATAGAGACAGCCCCTTACCCCACATCTCCCTCTGAGATACCATCTCAGAGAGAACCACATTAAAAGGGTCCTGTTGACCTCTGCCACGTCCCTCAGCCAAGTCAAAACCCGTTTCATTTTCAAGGGCATCGAAAGCTGGTAAAAGATTTAGTATTATCAACAAGGGTCTCTGCCAAGAGCTCCAAAGAAAGAGATTTCCATTTAATTTGAACCAATTGCTTGTTCAGAGTTGTCATGCATGTCACCTGACCAGAATCAGGTATGAATGCATCTCAGCTACCACATCACCAATTTCAGTTTTTCTCAAATGCTGAAGGCAAGCAATCAAAGTCCTTACTTCCTGGCTTGCACATGCATACAACCAGAATGAATAAGAAAAGAATGATTCAGACAAGTCACGATACATTATTTTTTGTTATCTCTTGTTCCATGCTCCAAGGGGCTTGCAAGAAACAGAAGCAAGTTTCTGTTGGCCAGGTCTGCAAAACCTCAGATGTTATCACACCATGCGGGTTCCCAAGACTTTCAACCTAATTTGATGGTTCGGGGTATTTTTTACAGAAAGAAGTATCTTGGGATGGGTGGGAAGAAGAGCATCTAACAAAACGGGGGAGTCTAAAAAGAAATCAGCAAAGGCTTTTCCTGTCTTGTCTTTCTCCACACAGAGTTTGGTACTGGAGAAATGATGAACATGTGGATTGGAGGTGCACAAGATTAAACCCAGATCTTCTGCATTTGAAGCATATGTAGTTTGTCAGGCTGCTAAAAATGGATATTGGGGCCTCGATACACTGTGTGGGTGAACATACAGAGTGAGTCAGGGATACAATGGGTATGTATGTGGAAGGACCTGTTAAGAAAGACAACATTGCTTAGTGGTTGATCTCTGTAACAAAACGTTTCTGACCGGGGACACCACACCTATCATAACAAAGTTTAAACAACATATAATCAGGCAATAACAAGTGCTAGCAACTTACACTAAGGACCAACACAACAAGGTCATATTCCTGTTAGTAACAAAGCATAGATTGCAAAGTATTAAAACTACCAGAGCAATGTACAGAATGAAAGTGCAAATTGGGTTCAGTGAATTTTCATTCTAAGAATGAAAAGAACTTAAAGCTATGTATTTATATGGTGGCATATTAAGACTCATAAAACTTTAAATATACTGTCCAGTCCTTTAAAGTCTCTGAGTGAAACTGAGACAGACATGATTGGATCTCAAAAGATGCATGATTATATTTCCATCACATTTAGTTTTGGAATTCAAGATCACAAGGAGCATTACGTACTCATGCAGTTCATGCCGTCACCTCTGTATCCTTCCTTACATTTACACTTATAGGATCCTTGTGTGTTGTAACAATGGGAAAATTCTCCACACTGATGCTGGCCAAGTGAGCATTCATCAATATCTATCACAGAAAAACATACATGTAAAAGTCTTTCCACATGACAGACATCGTTACTGGCATCTTCAAGACATACAGGTGCCAATCTCTCTTTTTACACTACTGAAGCTCATCATACCAGTGGTGAAAATCAAAGAAAGAATGTCACAAATGAATGGCTTTAATGGTACTTTGACATGCAGAATCAGCCACAGATGTTTTGTTGTTCAAAGAGCGGCACTGCCTAATCTGAGAAATTCCCTTTCCAGGCCCCACACAGAGGTTGGCAACTTTAACATGTGCTTAATCCTTACCACTTCCCTGTGACATGGCCATACTGACCAGCCTACACTTGTGGAAGAGTATATGGAACTCAAAAGCTCATATGCTGCTTTGTGACACCATAACTGCTCCTGATAAAAGGTATTATGTGGATTGTGGTTTGATTTTGCATTTTCTTTTCCTTCCTGGTCAGTCAAACTGCCAACCAGCAGCACCTCCATCTCGTCTGGACTGAGCTTCAGTTTATTCACATGTTTTTTAATTGACAGTTCCAGAACTGAAAAATACCCTTCTGAAGCATGGATTGAGGCATCCACATTTGCGATAAATTTGGTGCCATTTCAGTTGTTTGCTTTTTGTTAGATCATGGACAAGGAAAGTGTTTGGCACTGACCCCGGGACAGCAATTATCTGGGCTGGTACTGGCAATCAGTCACTTGATGTGAGCCAATCCTACATGATGTCTATACTTGCACAGAAATTGTTACAGACATCAGTTTGTTAAGTAAAGTAGGATCTCTTGCTTCCAGATCACAGATTGTTTCAATAGATACATTTCTGTTGGTCACTTTAGAATTTCATGGATTATTTCACTATGAAGAGCTTGTGCAAAATGTACCAAGAAGCCTCTTTTCTTTCTATAGCTTCTTAAAGCCTAAATCTGAGTAAATCTTAAATTTGTATTCTGCTTCACACAAATAGCACTGGAATCTGTCTCATTTCGGCAAACTGACTGGAAATGAAGGAACTCATTATATCATCAAATTTAGCTGTAAGGCCAGTTTCGCTGTAAATGCAACTAGTTTAGAAAATTGTTGTTATGGTATATAGTGAATGATTACTGTTGGGGAATTAACAAGTCCTGTGTAATTATGTTAAAATACAGAACCATGAATGCTTGCAGAAACACTGTCTGAAACAACTTAGCCTTCTTAGAGGACTTTATAGGGCTTGTTCTGAGATACTCAATCTTACAAAATTAGAAACAGTTGAGATAGCAATCATTGCCTTATTCTGACACCTAAGCTACACATTACAGGAAATATAGTGCTGCCTTCCAAGAACACCCTTACTGTGTTGAGTTCTTCCTCACCCTTCCACAACAGAGAGAGCAATCCTCAACAGGTACACTCAGAGGTAAGTCCTGTTTTATTCAGTGGGGATTCATCCCTGAAAGGTGTTCTGAAGATTACAGTCATAGAGTAACACTCTAGAGTAATACTTTCTGCCCCCATCAAGGGTAGCCAACAAGAAACAACACTGGGGAAAGAATGATTTGGCTGCCCGTGAAAGGGGTGGGGGGACACACACAGAACATCATGAAAAGAACATGGGGCAGGGGTCACTCCAGATTGGGAAATTCCTGGAGATTTTGAGGGGGAATCCTGAAATATGTAGTTTCTCTCCTAAATAAAAGCACATCCTACACATACAGATATCCTTCTAGAAATGCTTTGACAATAAACTAATTTGATTACCATGGCACTGGTATTTGCCTCCAATGTACATCAAATCGAAGCCTTTGTGACATTTGCAAATATAGCTTCCAAATGTGTTGACACACTTCCTAAACCGAGGACAGGTCACTCTCCCAGTGGCACACTCATCAACATCTACAAGTAAAAATCAATCAGTCATCTGCAACAACATACTTCATACACTTAAATTTGTTTTAAAGTTTATCTTAGCAAACCTGAATGGTCACAAATATGTTTTTGAAAATTATGTTTTATTCTGGTTTTGTATGTGCAGCTACACAGGAATTATGAGTTAATGTGACACATCCACGCTCAACTTGTTTATCTCTTTTTTCCCTCCCTCACTCTTCATCTCCCAGAACAAAATAGCCATTTGTTTTTAAGAAGCATGTGTGAAAAAGCTGTGTAGGAATTTCCATGTTCTGTTAGGTCTGTTGATCTCAAAGTAGGAGATTTTTGTATGAAATCTAGCTATCAATTTGAACTTTAGCCAATTCTGGTTATGCATTAGTTTATTCATTATCTATTATTTGCCCTAATTAGAAACATGGATTAGAGGAGGCCATACCTTGTTTCCACTCATGATAATGCTACATCATGGTTTTTATAATTCTTAGAATTATAATTCTTAGCTATTGTTATACATTTGCATTAGTCTTGAGGGCACATCATATCAAAGATGAAAAACCATAAGAAGAAAGATCATTGCTGGGGGGAGATTGAATTATTACTACTGCTATTTAGTGCTGTTTTCATTTGCAGTCTTGTAACACCTATTTAATCTAATATGACTGTAAATAGGTTATGGCCGGAAGACTCTAAGTCTTTAGGTCCTTTTCTTCCAAAGAAGACTAACTCTGAGAAAACTGCCCATTATTTCCCATTGCTTGGAAAAGGGAGAGCACAGAAAAAATATATATTTATGGGCCTTGACTTACCAATACAAGTTCTACCATCAGGTGCTAATTGTAACCCTGGTGACGGACAACGGCAGCGTACCTCTCCCTTCACGACATCACAGCCATACTGGCAGTTTGCCATGGAACATGTGAGGGCATCTGTTGAGAGATTATCATTACAAACAATTAAAAGTGGCTCTGTATTTAAATTCGGTGTTGTATTGTATTCTATCAAGTTTAATAATAGAATTAATTTAATAACAAAGAAGTCTGTGAAAAGAGTACTACTGATTTTTGCAGGAAATGCATCTGTTTGATTTTTTTTCCACTTTGTACTGCCTCAATTTGTCCTTTCATGCAGATGTTAAACTATTTGCAGAGGAGCTCAGTCACCTGCTTCATGAGATAAAGGACAAGTTTCATAAGATAAAACCATCATCTATAATCTTAATGAGACAACAGGATCCTGAAGTAACTCAGGAAGCTTGTTCACAGTTCTTTAAGAATTGGAGCCTTTTGGAAACTGCCTGCTAAAAATGATCTGATGCTTAAAATAAACCAGCACATTTTTATCATGTTCCTTTTACATTCTAACCCCTTCAACACTGCTGAGAAGATTTTGTGTAATCCTTAAAGAAAAGCAATTTCTCTTTCCCATTCTTAGTATTCAAAAGTATCCTCTTCTATATGAGTCATAAAGAACCTGACATTTGGGAAGTTTACACCAGAGCTTTAAAACAGGCAAACCAGCAGACATCTGTCATTTTTAATGGGTTGCATTTACATAGGCAGATAATAAATGTCTCACGCTCGTATAACAAGGCATTCCCAAATAAAGTAATTGTGACTGAAAGCTCTGTTGTGCTGTAACAATAAAGCCAATCAAATGAATTATTCTACATTTCCTTATCTAATTTAGCAAAGTTTATTCTCATGGTATGTTTTTAAATGATATATATTAATTTTTATTCAGCAGAGGGCTCTTGACGTACTAGAACACGATCCATCTGGCATAAGCATATACCCATTCAGACAATAACACTTGTAGCTGCCATAGGTATTCATGCACCGATGTTTACATGGTCTTGGTTTCAGTCCACATTCATTGAGATCTAAAAAATAGGGAGAGGAAGAAACAAATGGAGCAGGCATTACATATTAGCATTTTTTTGAAGTTACAGAGATAGCAGCAGTCAGGTTTTTTTTCTCTAACAACTTAGACTTGATGAACCCTGACATGTAATAATTAATCTTTTCCATCACATGAGAACAGAGGACCACTGTAATGCTCTTGATCCTATAAGCATAGTCAAAGAGATCAAGAGGACACCATCCCAGCCCCTCTCCTGCCCACCATCAAGCACCTTTGTCCATCATAATCATGGCTATGTTTCCAGGCACAATTTGAAGTGCTGGTTCCTACCTTTAAGGCCCTAAACAGCTTAGGGATATAGTACCTGAAAGACTGCATCCTTTTGCTAAATTTTCCAGTATTTACGAAATGTGCAAGCTATTTAAAAATGTGTACCAAAAAGTTGGGACAGCTTTTACATTTGTGCACTGTAATGTTTTGCCATCAGTAATTATTAGGGCTGCCAGCTCTGGGATGGGGAGGGACCTCAGTGGGGTACCATGCCATAGAGTCCACCCTCCAAAGCAGCCATTTTCTCCAGGGGAACTGATCTCTGTCTTCTGGAAATCAATTGCAATTCTGAGACATCTCCAGGCCCCACCTGAAAGTTACAAAGCAAAAAGAGGAGATTCACGGTATGGAGAAAATTAACAAAAGACAAGAAACCCGTGAATATAATAACAAAAAAAAATAATTAAATGTTAAGGGTTCACATACTATTTTAATATTTTTTTTGTTATTAAATTCATGAGTTTCTGGTCTTTTGTTAATTTTCCCCCTCTGAAAGTTGGCATCTCATGGTGGTAACAAGATACCCTAATCTACTTTAGGGGTCAGACCAAAATGTTTCTTTTTACCCAGGCTTTTAAATGAAAGGACTGATATTTTAAAGCGGCTATAAAAGTCTGTTTCTAGCTAGAAACTCTTATAGTACCATAAAGCCAGCATTTAGCAATCTAAAAAGGTTCTCGTATAAGTTCAAGCTTCATAGGAGTCTGAAAAAGCAGATGTTATTAACTGGAAAATATCATATAAACCCAGTGGATAAGGTAGATTCATACCTATAAAAAATGCAATGGCATAATAAAATTGCCAGCCTTCCACTTGCTTAGTAAAATCTGGATCTTTTTACAGAGTTCTGAACATACCACCACTGGGAATAATGTATTTTGGTGCACAAGTTTTGGCCATGATATTGGATAGCTATCGTCTAAGAATGTAAGTATATATTAAGAGTTTAGGCTGGAAAGTTTTATAAATACTCTGTTCCGCTGGTGCTGTTATTGGATAGCATATCTCACTAGTCCTAAAAGATCTATGCTGGCTGACAATTTGCTTCAAGGCACAGTTCAAAGAGGTGTTTTTTACCTTTAAAGCTCTACATGGCCTAGAAAGCAGTAAGTTAAAAAACTGATTTCTTCCACAATAAACTGTTTATCAGTTAAGATCTGCTGCTAAGGCTCTTCATGTGCTCTCCCAGCTTGCTGGGATGTTACAGGGACAAGGTCTTTTCTACTGTGGCATGTTGATTCTCTCCATATTGACCTACTTGCTACCTAGCCTAGCTTTAGGCTCCAAGCAAAAATATTCCCTTTCTCCAAGGCGCTTTCCCCCCAGTTTTGTATTGGTTGTGTTCTCCTTCCCTAGTTTGATCGAACACATGAAGCTGCCTTATACTGAGTCACACTATTGGTCCTTCTAATGTGCTGGCAGTAGTTTTCCGGGGTCTCTCAGGCAGCGAAAATCCTTTCCTAACACCTGCTACCTATTTTTATCAAGATGCCAGGGACCGAAACTGGGACCTTCTTTGTGCAAAAAAGAGAGTGTTCTATCACTGAGCCACAGCCCCTCGCTAATCGATTTCCCTCCCCCATTCATACTGTCTGGTTCATATTATTTCCCCCTTCTGATTATTTCATAGCTGTGAAAGCTACAAAATCAATTTAATTTAAAAATCAAATTTGCTGGTTTTAGCCTGAATCTTTTATATCGGTATCAATTTACTTATCGCTTAACTTTCGTCAGGAATTCTCCTCTAGAGTATTGTGATAGGATATGAGGCACTAAATTGTGATAGGATATGAGGTACTAAATTTTAGTTAAACATATGTTCCACGCTTCTGTGGGTATCACTGGATTTCCTTATAGTGGTTTAACAGAAGCATTTCTAGAGATTTATTCAATATGCTTGGCAAAATATGCTGGAAATACTAGGAATATCCCTAAATTGCTTTTCTCACTTGTGCTGGGCAAGATCAACAGTTGCCCATTCACCTGCATTCTCTGTTGTGTCCCCCTCACCTTGTGGAGTGGCCAACCTGAGGAGGTCAGGAAGGCTCCCATGCTTCTGTCATTCTGCAAACTATGTAAAACAAAATGGTTCAGGTAGGCATTTTAATAAAGGAAATAAGGGTATATTATATTATAAAAGAATGGTTCAGGAAGGTGCTTTGATAAAGCGAATGGGGCTGTAGACTACACTACCGCATACAGTTTATGTTATCTGTTTGTTGTACGTATTATCTTGCTCTCACTGCATTTTTTCTACTTATGTAATACCATTTTCTGCATTGTTTAACATATCATGTCTAGTACTTAAATTAACAAAAAAATCATCCTAACTAGCATTTATACAGCACTTTGCAGTGTTCAAAACAATTCAAATTAATTATCTTCTCATAATCATCACAACTATCCTATAAGATAATATCTTTCCCCTTATATTGCTGATGGAGCAATATGGCATGGAGGTGAAAGGGAATGGTGGTTTGCATAATAAGACCATCTATCAAATTCACAGCAGAGATGAGTTTTGGATTTCCACAATGATACTTCCACTGTTTAGCCACAGTGAACACAGCACGAGCTCTCTTTTTATAGAAATGTTTTCTACTTTATTGTCTAAAGAAAAGATATTTCTGGTTCAGACCGCTATTGTCAGCTAGCTTGGGTTAGAGGCTCTTAATGAGTTGCAAATAGGTGCTGTACGGGTGCTGTACTTCTAAGGTCAGACAACAGATGTGTCTTTATCTACCATTTATTAGCTGTGCCATCTTTATCAGCTGTGCCATCTCACTTCAATGCCCCCTGAATGAAAGAGGGAGGAAAAAGCAGAGCCCAACACTTTTCAAAGTTACAAAGATTTTTTGATTTATTTTTAACATGGTCTACAATAATGTTTCTTTGCTCTTTGCAAAACTTTTACAGGATTTTAAAATACAGGGCACACCGGGCCTGAGATGTGTTTTAATGAGCCCCATTTTCCTGAGAATACCCTTCATTTGCCAAACTAAACAATTTGCCTGGGAAGCTATCTCACATTCAGATGCAGCAATTACAGAGTCAGAAACACACAACAATATGGTCACCATTAAAACTGTAGATTGAATGGCACGTATAGCAGCAGATTGTGTGTTGCAGTCCAAGATATAAGCGCAAGCTGATAAGCTTGGATATTACATTGCTAAGACAGAAATGACAAATGCAAATGCAAAGAAAGAAAATTGCTTGTGCACTGAAAAAGCTACTAGCAAGTGGTACAAACAGAATTATGAGGTTTTATCATTGATGATGACAGTGAAATATTATCCTCTCTTAAGCATATAATTAGGGCTGTAATGTTTAAGTGATTACTCAGATTAATCAATTAAACATATTTTCATAAACTGAAAATTAATTGCCTACACTTTTGTTTAAACTTACTGTTGCTTATAAAACTGTCAGTGGCATGCCATTTTAGAAGATACCTTCCCCCTTCTGTCTTTCACAGGAGGAACCACACTGTCCAAGACAGAGGTATTCAACCTTTCCAGATCCAAGTCCCACCTATAACTCCAGATGGAAACATGGGACCAATGGAGCTGCAACCACATGACAGGAAATACCATGACATCACAGTCACATTATGAAAATAGAGAAGACAGTGTATCTGTATGTGGTTGCTAAGACAGACCCCTCTCCACTGTTGAATAACCTTGTCTTGCAAGTTGGTTTGTGTGCAGAGAGAAGCAGGAAGTAGGGCATCTGCTCTCAATGCTGCATACAGTTCCTTTCAAAACACAGCAAAAATGGCAGTTCTGCAGAAGCTTTGCGACTCACCTGAGGATTCTAACCCATTCTTCTGTTGATTGCAATGACATTCTTGAATAGTATCAATAGCGTATGCTTTTTTGCTTCAGAACTAATATATGCACATTTGTGTAAATGCAACAAAGTAATTGACTAAAAATCATGAGATTGATTATTTTTGCATAGCTTTCATCATTGTAGCCTAGATTACTCTGAAGCTGATTCTGGACATCTGGACAGCTCTAGTGCTGGTAATGTTGCAGACGGCTAGTGCAGTATCAGCACTAAGAATTGGCTAGTGTTTCTTAATGCTTTAAAAATGCTTTTAAACTAACAGAAAGAGAAATGCACTCATGAATTGCAGAGTGTGAGAACACAGCCTTGAACAGTATGGGATTCACTTTTTTTAAGAATGGGGACGGAATTGTAGCAAAGTGTGACATTTTTCATGTTCTGTCCAATAGATGCCTTTGACAAAGATGCCTTCCCACACAGGAATGGTGGAGTTTGGTTTGTGTAGCCAGTATAATCACTATTTTTCAGTATTATTGGATCCTAGTTTGAGTGCAAAAATCCAGTTCTCCTACAATGAAAGCACTTCCTTGGGAGCCTTTGGCAGGCTTCCTATTGCAACCACCATTTCCAAAAGATCCATAGCAAGCACATGATCCTGTTATGTTGAATTCATACTAGCTTGGTTGGTTCTCAACTTCCACAGTGTTGGCCTACAAAGAGGAATTAATGCCTGCCCATTGGCCACAGGCAATAACTATGAATATCCAAGAGGAAGGGTTTATGTGGTCTCTTGTCACTTTATGGCATCTACACATTGATCAGCTTTCAAATGTATACCACCATAAACAACTGAATTGAGAAGAAATAATGATCACATGAAGAGACCAAGTTTTCTGAAACAGGTATTTAAAGCATGATGTACAAACAACTGCACAAATGCCTGCATTGTGCATGTATCAAGCCAAAATAGTCACTATATATGCTATTCTCATATTATTTAAAACTTACTTCAACATATATATTAATATAAAGGGAAAACATAAATATTAATATCAGTTGACTTAAAACCTTTATCACTGATTATCTAATAGTATTAGATGCTATTTTTTTTGTTCAGTTCAGACTTCATGGAGTACCTTTCATTAGGACCAACTAAACAACATAAAACAACTTTCAAATGACATTTGGGTTGGTCCTAATTAAAGGTATTACATCGTTTCTGTTTTTGGATTTTGCTTTGGGCCAACCTGAACCTCTTTTTACTGGACTCAATATCCCTAACCTATATGAGTACACAGCTCTCCCCCCAACAGCTTATGAAGGAGTTCAGAAAAAGCAGCACATATCCTGAAAGATCAAAGCGAGAAAGTAACCACAGGCGCAAATGAGGAGAACTGTCGAGGGTCAAGCCTTTTCGGAAGAGAAGTTTGCAGCCTCAAGGAAATGCAAATGCTGACTTGCTGAACATGCCAATGCTACTGCAGGCAAGGCTTTGATGTGGCAGCCAGATGTTTGTTATCCTTCAGCACATCTACAAGAGGTTTCACTGTAGTTCAAAGCCGTGCAGGTGGAAGGAACGTACCACCTGAAGTCAAGGATTTTTCTCACCCCTCAGTAGAAAATTTGCTGCCTGATGATCCAGAGGGATGAAAAAAGGTGGTTCACTGGGCCAGTCGAGTGACGTTTCGTACAAGTGCTCAGCTTCATGAGGTGGGAAGAAGTAGTACAGTAGAAGTCAAGACCCAGTCAATGACAGAGCAGTTTGTTTTGTCAAATACCACCACTGAAGGTGCAACAATCTTAATTAGACAAAAAAAGAAATGCAAGGATAGAATTTCATTTGCATCTGCAGCGTGGAACAGTGGTTTTTAGCCTGT